AGAGTGATAGTAGCCTGTCGCTCCCTGACGTGGTGGGGCATCTATTTGCGGCAGGATGGAGAGAGCAAAAAAGTTATTTGGTGCTCAAGGCAGAAAAAGAAGAAAAGAAAAGGAGAAGGCGTGCGAGGGAATGCGGCAAAAAATGCTGATGTGGGTGAAAGACAGGAACAGCTATGAACTGTGATGGAAACAAATGTCACTTATGTGCAAGCTTGTGCCCAGCGTCAGGGATCAGGCTCTGATCTTCACAGAAAACTAGGCGAGATAGTGCTGCTGCTGGCTGGCTTGGGTTAGCAAGCTAAAATTGCAGAGCGATTTCTTGCTGTTGCACACAGGCTATAGGCAAGGATTTAGAAGCCGTCTGTCAAATTGATTGAAATGTGGTGCGTGCATTGTGAATGAAACATGTCGTCGGACTAGCACCTGACCATGTGATCACCGTTCATGGATAGCCAGCTAACACATGACTGACAGAAAGTCGGATGAAAGTAATACGACGAGTCACGACGACACCGTGAAATAATGTACATTGCAACCAGGTGCATATATATATATACATTTCATGAGACAGAATCAGGAAATGAAAGGGAAAGTAACAGGTAGGTCTAATATGAGGTGGAAGTGTAGGGCAGTCAAGCTACTCTTTTCTGCCCATAATACAAACTCAGCTAACATTTATGATTACTGGTAAGACTGCGTCAGATAGATGTGTAATTCATGTGCAATATGTCTACAAAGTCATTAAGCTGGTTGTTTAACATGGGCTAGTGGACAAGAACAGAGACAGGACATGAGAGTAGTGGAGGAAAACAGAGAGGAGACAGAGATGGCATGGAGATGCCAACAGGCAGAGAGGAGGAGGCCCATGATGACATCACTAGGAAGAGTTTTAGTGTTGATTGTTAGTTCCACACAAAATCAGACCTAATGCAGGGTGGTTGGAAGTTCTGTTTACTGGCCTTTTTACTGTGTCCTTTTGGAAAGTAATAGATCAGAGAGTGATGGAGAGCCACTTGAGTCAGAGGAAGAAGTGGAGGTGGAGCAAAGAGGAGTTGCTAGGGAAAGAACTTTGCCACAAGACCCATGTGACTGGCCTGCACCACATGAGAGAGGGGACTCTCTAAGACAGTTTATGGTAGAGAATGGCCCACAGGAATGTCCTGATGGACCATACCCTAGAACGGATAAAACCAAAAGGTGTTTTTCGGAAGTTTATTGCTCAGGCATTTTATCCAATGTAGAAAGAGTACATCGGGATTGGTTATTGTACTCCAAAAGTACAAACAAAATGTACAGCTTTGCATGTAAGTTTTTTGGTGGAGCTAAAGTGGTTGACACATGCCTTGCTATGGGGTATAATAACTGGCAGTGCTTTTCCAAAACCTTACAACATCATGAAACCAGCAGGTGTCACATAAATGCTTACCTTATGTGGAAGGAACTAGCATCCTGCATGCACACAGGGAAAACAATCGACAATGACATACAAAGGGCACTAGACCGTGAAAAGGCACACTGGAGAGGTGTGCTCACCAGGGTAGTTGACTGTATACTCTTCCTTGCTGAACGAAACCTCCCTCTGAGGGTGAAAGATGCTTTTTAGGCTGTCCTAGAAATGGAAATTTATTGAGTTTTCTTGAGGTCTTAGCCAAATATGACATCACCATGGCAGAACACTTACAAAAGAAACAACAAGTTACCTGTCATGCTGACACAAAGTGAGTTCTTACATTTTATTGCTCAATGTGTACTTGGCAAAATCTGCATTCAGGTAAAAGCCTCCAAATACTTTGCAGTGGAATTGGATTGTACACCTGACATTTCCAAACAAGAACAGGCCTCAATTATTATTCATTATGTGCAGACAGACGAAAACAAAAAAGCAACAATACATGAGTCCTTTGTGGGTTTCACTGTTGTGAAGAACAGCACTGGGCAAGGCCTCACTGGCATCTGTCTGCTGCTCTGCACAGTCTGGGGTTGGATCTAGCTAACTGTATGGGCCAAAGTTATGACAGTGGCACCAATATGAGGGGAGGGCACAAGGGTGTGCAAGCCCAAGTACAGCAGAAATATCCAGAGGCTCTGTTCATCCCCTGTTGTAATCACTAGGGCATTAACGATTTCAGATTTTTCCAGATCGACTTATCCGTCAATAAAGTCGAAGTCGAGTCGACAAGTTGTTTGATGACGTCATCACACAGGCGCAGCGGAGGAACACAGGTGTCCAACAATGAGCAACATGTCAACATGACAATTAAAAAAACAAAACATAGGCTAATACCTTGAATTTTCTGGTAAATTTAAGTGCACAACAGAAAGTGGGAACAGCTTAAGCTGCGACAGCCAAGGCACACAGAATGTATCTGCGCTGGATATCACCAGGTGTTCTGACGAGTTGAGCTACTGTACCTATCGAGACGTACTATTGAGCCTTTTTGCGCATGTGCCGTTCCACCGTTTGGGGGTTAGGGTAAGGGTTTTAGGGTTTTTGGGGGAGTTAGGGTTAGGGTACGGGTTATGGTT